TGAAGTCAGGGATTGTGATACCTCCAGCTTTGTTCTTTTTTCTCAGGATTGCTTTAGCTATTCGGGGTCTTTTGTTGCACCATATGAATTTTAGGATTCTTTGTTCTATTTCCGTGAAGAATGTCACTGGGATTCTGATTGAGATTGCATTGAATCTGTAGATTGCTTTAGGTAGCATGGACATTTTAACTATGTTTATTCTTCCAATCCATGTGCATGGAATAGCTTTCCATTTCTTTATGTCATCTTCAATTTCTTTCAATAATGTCTTATAGTTTTCATTGTATAGGTCTTTCACCTCCTTGGTTAAATTTATTCCTATATATTGTATTCTTTTTGTTGCAATTGTAAATGGGATTGTATTCTTGAGTTCTCTTTCTGTTAGTTCATTATTAGAGTATAGAAATGCAACTGATTTTTGTAAGTTGACTTTGTACCCTGCAACTTTGCTGAAGTTGTTGATTACTTCTAATAGTTTTCCAATGGATTCTTTAGGGTTTTCTATATATAAAATTATGTCGTCTGCAAACAGTGAGAGTTTCACTTCCTCCTTGGCAATTTTGATACCTTTTATTTCTTTTTTTTGCCTAATTGCTATGGCCAAAACCTTCACTACTATGTTGAATAAGAGTGGTGAGAGTGGGCACCCTTGTCTTGTTCCTGTTCTCAGAGGGACGGCTTTTAGTTTTTCCCTGTTGATTATGATGATGGCTGTGGGTTTGTCATATATGGCCTTTATTATGTTGAGGTACTTTCCTTCTATACCCATTTTATTGAGAGATTTTATCATAAATGGATGCTGGATCCTGTCAAGTGCTTTCTTTGCGTTTATTGAGATGATCATGTGGTTTTCATTCTTCGTGTAGTTAACGTGGTGTATCACATTGATTGATTTTCAGATGTTGAACCATCCCTGCATCACTGGTATAAATCCTACTTGATCATGGTCTATGATCCTTTTAATGTATTGCTGTATTCAGTTTGCCAATACTTTGTTGAGGATTTTTGCCTCTATGTTCATCAGCAACATTAGCCTGTAATTTTCCTCCTTTGTATTGCCCTTGTCTAGCTTTGGGATCAGGGTGATGTTGGCCTCACAGAATGGGTTAGGAAGTGTTCTGTCATCTTCAATTTTTTGGAATAGTTTGAGAAGGATAGGTACTAAATCTTTTTTGAATGTTTACTAGAATTCTCCTGAGAAGCCATCTGATCCTGAACTTTTATTTTTTGGGAGGTTTTTGATTACTATTTCAATCTCTTTACTTGTGATTGGTCTATTCAGATTCTCTATTTCTTCTTGATTCAGTTTTAGGAGGTTGTGTGAGTCTAAGAATTTATCCATTTCTTCTAGATTGTCCAATTTGTTGGCTTATAGTTTTCATAGTATTCTCTTATAATCCTTTGTATCTCTGTGGTATCCACTGTAATTTCTCCTCTTTCATTTCTAATTTCATTTATTTGACTCTTCTCTCCTTTTGCTTAGTGAGTCTCACTAAGGGTTTTTCAATTTTATCTTCTCAAAGAACCTGCTCTTAGTTTCACTGATCCTTTCTACCGTTTTTTTTTTTCATTTTCTATTTCATCAATTTCTGTTCTAATTTTTAGTATTTCCCTCCTTCTGCTCACTTTGGGCTTTGTTTGTTCTTCTTTTTCCAGTTCTGTTAGGTGTAGTTTAAGATTACTTATTTGAGATTTTTCTTGTTTGTTAAGGTGGGCCTGTATTGCTATAAGTTTCCCTGTTAGGACCAGTTTTGCTGCATCCCATGTGAGTTGGTATGGTGTATTTCCATTTTCATTTGTCTCCAGATATTTTTTGATTTCTTCTTTAATTTCTTCATTGATCCATTAGTTGTTCAGTAGCAGGCTGTTTAGTCTCTGCATATTTCTCACTTTCCCAGCTTTTTTCTTGTGGTTGACTTCTAGTTTTATAGCGTTATGGTTGGAAAAGACGCTCTATATGATTTCAGTCTTCTCAAATTTATTGAGGCTTGCCTATTTCCCCACATATAGTCTATCTTTGAGAATGTTCCATGTGCACTTGAGAAGAATGTGTATTCTGCTGATTTTGGATGGAGTGCTCTCTATATAACTATTAAGTCCATCTGGTCTAGTTTTTCATTTAATTCCACTATTTTCTTGTTGACTTTCTGTCTGAGTGATCTATCCATTTTGTAAATGGGGTGTTGAGGTCCCCTACTATTATTGTGTTGCTATTAATTTCTCCTTTTAGTTCTTTTAATAGTTGCTTTACGTAGTTTGGTGCTCCTGTGTTAGGTGCATATATAAGTGTTATGTCCTCTTGGTGGAGTGTCCCTTTTATTATTATATACTGCCCCTCTTTGTCTCTCACTGCCTTTTTTTATCTTGAAGTCTACTTTGTCTGATATAAGTATGGCAACACCTGCCTTCTTTTGTTTGCCATTAGCTTGGAGTATCATCTTCCATTCCTTCACTCTGAGCCTATATTTGTCTTTAAAGCTGAGATGTGTTTCCTGGAGGCAGCATATTATGGGGTTTTGCTTTTTAATCCACCTAGCCACTCTGTATCTTTTGATTAGAGAATTCAATCCATTTACGTTTAAGAGTGATTATTTATAAATAAGGGCTTAATATTACCATTTTATAACTTGTTTTCTGGTTGTTCTGTACTTCCCTTGTTTCTTGTCTCGTATATTTCTGACTGCCAGTTCAGTTTGGTGTTTATGATGGTTTTCTCAGTTTTCTCTTTATTTATCATTTGTGTCTCTGTTCTGATTTTTTGTTTAGTGGTTACTGTGAGGTTTGTATACAAGATCTCATAGATGAGATAGTCCATTTTCTGATAGCCTCTTATTTCCTTAGTCTGAGTAGGTTCCATCCCTTTCCTCTTCCCTGTCTAAGTTATTGTTGTCACAACTAATTCTGTTTTGTGTTGCAAGTTTGTGATTAAAATGAAGTGATTGTAGTTATTTTTGATGCTTTCCTTTCCTTTATCTTTAATGTTATAATTAAGTGTTCTGTTAGGGAGCTGCAATTTTCTGATCTTGTCTATTTATCTCCCTGCTGAAGGTTTTGTAAACCCTTTCTTTTTTCTTTTCAGGTATGAGGGCCTTCTTGATCATTTCTTGTGTGTGTGTGTGTGTGTGTGGGGGGGGGTCTTGTGGCAATGAACTCTCTCAGCTTTTGTTTATCTGGGAAAGTTTATTTCTCATTGTATCTGAAGGATATATTCACTGGATAGAGTATTATTGGCTGAAAGTTTTTATCTTTCAGAATTCTGAATATATCATTCTACTCTCTCCTAGCCTGTAAGGTTTCTGCTGGGAAATCCACTGAAAGCCTGATAGAGGCTCCTTTCTAGGTTATTTTCTTCTGCCTTGCTGCCCTTATTATTTTTTCTTTGTCATTGACTTTTGCCAGTTTTACTAATATATGCCTTGGAGAAGGTCTTTTTACACTGATGTAATTAGGAATTCTATTTTCTTCGTTTAAATTCAATTCCAGCTCCTTCCACATTTTTGGCACATTCTCAGCTATTATATTTTTGAACACATTCTCTGTTCCTTCCTCCCCCTCTTCTCCATCTTGAATACCTATAATCCTTATGTTCAATTTCCTAATTGAGTCAGATATTTCTCAGAGAATTTCTTCATTTCTTTTTAGTCTTAGCTCTCTCTCCTTCTCCACCTGAAGCATGGCTAAATTTCTGTCCTCTATATTACTGATTCTGTCCTCCATAATATCAGCTCTATTTTTAAAGACTCCAGATTTTCCTTTATCTCACTCATTGTGTTTTTCATCTCCAACATTTCTGATTTTTTTTTTTATAGTTTCAATCTTTTTTATAGAGAATTCCCTCTGTTCATTAGTTTTCTTCCTGAGATCACTAAACTGTCTTCCTGAGTTTTTTCGGTAACTCGTTGAGTTTCTTCATGATAGCTATTTTGAATTCTTTGTCATTTAGATTGTAAATTTCTGTGACTTCAGGATTGATTGGGTACTTGTCATTTTCCTTCTGGTCTGGAGTGTTAATATATTTCTTCATGCTATATTATGGGGTGGATTTTTGCTGTTGCATAGTGGTAGAATCTGGTCACAGATTCCACCTGCCACGACTGCAGGGGCATGAGCTGTGTCTTCTGAGCCCTCTGTGATGCCTGGCAGATGTTCCTGTCCATTGGAAGCTCTGCCAATGGGGCCCACCTGCATTTTCCCACTAACTGCTGCTGCTTTATACATGCATGGGTGGATGCTCTGGCAGGGATCCCCTGTTCTGGCCGACCAACCAAGCTGGTATGCCAGGCAGGACGGGGGGTTGGGCACTTTCTTTTGCATGTGCAATCCCAAGTGCCCCTACTCTGCACTTACTGTCTCTTGACTTGGCCTGCTCAGCTTGGTGTGGGCACCCCTGCGATTGCTTAGCAGCCTCAGTGTGGAGCATTCCTATGGGCTGGGAGGCAACTCAAAGAGTGCAAGCTTTCCCACGGAGGGCTGCCTTTACAAAAGGGAAACCTTCTCTCAGTGTCATGTGCTGTCAGTGAGGTCCTGCACCCTAAATCACTGCCGATCAGGGCAGGAGAGGAGACCTCCTTATCTCCTTCCATTGCCTCCTTGGGGGGTCCAGCACTCCCACCTTCAGACGCATGTCTGTGTGGATCTCTCAGACGTTTGTTGTGTTGTGTGAATGTCCTCTGCTGGTTTATGAATATCCTTTTTGTTGTATCTTAGTGGGGAGAGACTAAGAGAAGAGCTCACTCTGCCATGATGCTGACATCATTCACCAAATAGATTTCTTAATTTAAAAGCATGCAGTCACCAAGAAGATGCATCAGTCATGAGCATTTATGTATGTGTTGTGTGTATGCTTTTGAAATATATAAAACAAAAAAATTGATACAACAGGAAAATTTTTGCAAATATTCAATTACAGTGGAAGAATAACATATTTCACAGAAATGGACAGATCAAGTAGATGAAATGGAAAGGTACAAAGGTTGCAATAATACAATTAGCAAACTTAATATTTTATATATCTACTTTCAATCTTTATTCTGTACTCAACAGAGAATGTACATGTTTTACACATAAAATGTAACATTCTGAGAAATTCTTGCACTAGGTCACAAAGGAAATAATAAATCTTTCAAAGTGATATCACACAGGCCATATTCGCAAACCACAATGCAATAAAAATGGAGATAAAAACAAAGAGACAACAAAAACTTCAAATGCCTGGATAGTAAAAGCACTCACATATAATTAATATTGGGGTTAAGGAGGAAATTAAAATGGATTATCAACTACTTAGAACTATGAGAGCATGAGAGCACTACACATAACACCTATGCGATGGGAAAAGTGATATACTTAAGATGATTTATATCATAAAATGAATTTATTACTAAACAAGAAAGACTGAAGCCAATTATTTAATATTTTAGTACAGTCTGTAGGAAAGGAAAACAAAATATCCACAAAGGAAGTAAGTAAAAGTTAAAACAGAAATTCACAAAGTAATTAGCAAATTATTAGTGGTTAGGGAAATGCACATTGAGACCACAATGAGATATCATCTTACACCCTTTGGTTTGGCAAAAATAAAGCAGTTGGGCAAGCCTAAATGTTGGCGAAAGTGTGGCTTTATAAGATCTCTTATACACTGTTGGTGGGAGTGTAAATTAGTGAAACCATTTTGAAAAACAGTTTGGCATTCCCTTCTACAATTGGACATTTCCATCCCTCACCACACAGTGAGTCCACTCCTAGGATTATCCCCAAGAGACCCTCTTGCCCACGTGCCCCAGAAAAGATGTAAAAGGACATTCATGAAAGCCTGTTCACAACACAAAGCCCAGAAACAAATCAGATGCTCACCAAAGGCATTAAAATGAAGAAACAACATTGATACCCAACAATATGAGGAATGTTATGTGAAAAAATATAAATCGCAAACAATTATATATAGTATGATACATTCATTCTAACATTTTATTATAACATTTCCAGACATAAAGAAAAGTTGAAAGAATTTTAAAGTGAGCATGCACAAAAAACACACTTTATTATATTTGTTTTATCTCATATCTATCCATTTATGCATCCTTTTCTCCACTCATCAAGTCATTTTCTTTTTTTGATGCATTTCAATATATGTTACAGTCATCAGCACACATGACCCCTAAAAACTTCAACATGCATATCATAAACTAGAGTTCAGTATTTGTTTACATTTGTAAAGAAAAATTTACATACAGGAAAATGCACCATTTGATGAGTTTTGAAAAGTGCATACAGACTTCCAGTTTCAGCTCTGACATATTAAGAGCTTAGAAGTTGTCACTGTCATCCTTACAACAAGAAAGAAGCTGAACAAACTAAAAATCAATGACTTCTCATAGACTCTACAGAGAATTGAGATTATAGGGCAAACTGTCACCCCCAAATCTGGAGAGACAAGCAAATACAGAGAATCACAGCCAAGATCAGCTTACCTTACCTGGAGCAGAAGCCATTGGAGTCATAAGGTCGTAGGACATTCACTGGTAATTTTGACAAATTGCTGGAGGCTGAGTATGGATTAGCTTGAGAGGAAGAAACTTCTGGGGGTCCAGTCTTGGGAAGGCTTCACATTTTCATGGATTTTGCTTACAGGAACCAAATCAGGTTCTCAAGGTGAAGATCTAAGAAAAGTCCCCTCAGGTTCTGGGAAAGAGGAGGATTAAAGTTACCATTTTGAAATACACCCAGAGCTTTCTCCATAAAAAAGGACTATTCTCCAAGGGACATAACTGTTCTAGAGACTTGTCTATGTTGGGGAAGGGCAATCAGTCAACTCTAGCCCCCTCTAACCTTCCTGTGTAATCTAAAGAGAGGTCAAAATGGCTAAGAAAGACTTCTGAAGGTCACATTCCAGGGGCTCAGCCTCACTAAAAGAATAAGATTTAATTATGTGATTACAGAACATTCCCTCCCCTTCACTCCTTACCACCACATCAATAAGTCTTCAGTAAAACTACAGTGGATTAAAACTGAAAGAGCTACAAGACATAGACTCTACATAATGAAGGAGTTCTTAGGGAAACCCAAAGACACCACTTTTTTTTTTTATTGAGTTATTGATAGGTTACAATCTTGTGAAATTTCAATTGTACATTAATGTTTGTCAGTCATGTTGTAGGTGCACCACTTCACCCTTTGTGCCCACCCCCCACCCCACCTTTCCCCTGGTAGCCACTAAACTGTTCTTGGTCCATAGTTTTAAATTCCTCATATGAGTGGAGTCATACACAGATTATCTTTCTCTCACTGGCTTATTTCACTTAACATAATTCTCTCAAGGTCCATCCATGTTATTGCAAATGGAATGATTTTGTTCTGTTTTGCAGCTGAGTAGTATTCCATTGTATATATGTACCACATCTTCTTTATCCATTCGTCTGTTGATGGGCACTTAGGTTGCTTCCACGTCTTGGCTATTGTAAACAGTGCTGCAATAAACATTGGGGTGCACAGGACTTTTGGGATTGCTGACTTCAGGCTCTTTGGATAAATACCCAGTAGTGGGATGGCTGGATCGTATGGTAGTTCTATTTTTAGTTTTTTGAGCAATCTCCATACTGTTTTCCATAGTGGCTGCACCAGTTTGCATTCCCACCAGCAGTGTATGAGGGTTCCTTTTTCTCCGCAACCTCTCCAACATTTGTTGCTATTAGTTTTAGATATTTTTGTCATTCTAACGGGTGTAAGGTGATATCTTAGTGTAGTTTTGATTTGCATTTCCCTGATGATCAGCGATGATGAGCGTCTTTTCATGTGCCTATTGGCCATCAGTATATCTTCTTTGGAGAAATGTCTGTTCGTGTCTCCAGCCCATTTTTTGATTGGGTGTTTGATGTTTTGTGGATGAGTTGTGAGAGTTCTTTATATATTAAGGATATTAAGCCTTTGTCAGATATATGACTTGCAATATTTTTTCCCAGTTAGTGGGGTTGGTTTTTTTGTTT